CCTCCCCAGTCCCTTTCCCTTTGGTATCTGTTAGTCCATTCTTGGGTTCTGTGATTCCGCTGCTGTTTTGTTTCTTCAGTTTTTCCTTTGTTCTTATACTCCACAGATGAGTGAAATCATTTGGTATTTCTCTTTCACCGCTTGGCTTATTTCACTGAGCATAATACCCTCCAGCTCCAACCATATTGCTGCAAATGGTAGGATTTGCCCTCTTCTTGTGGCTAAGTAGTATTCCATTGTGTATATGTACCACATCTTCTTTATCCATTCATCTACCGATGGACATTTAGGTTGCTTCCAATTCTTGGCTATTGTAAATAGTGCTGCAATAAACATGGGGGTGCATCTGTCTTTCTCAAACTTGATTGCTGCGTTCTTAGGGTAAATTCCTAGGAATGGAATTCCTGGGTCAAATGGTAAGTCTGTTTTGAGCATTTTGATGAACCTCCATACTGCTTTCCACAATGGTTGAACTAATTCCCACCAGCAGTGTAGGAGGGTTCCCCTTTCTCCACAGCCTCGCCAACATTTGTTGTTGTTTGTCTTTTGGATGGCAGCCATCCTTACTGGTGTGAGGTAATACCTCACTGTAGTTTTAATTTGCATAAAATGGCATTTTTTTAAGTACCGACAACAGAAAGCCAGTATGACTGACTTAAATGGTAAATATTGTTTTTTTGAAATAACTGATTTATTTTTTTAAAGTTATCATTGATATACACTCTTATGAAGGTTCCACAAAACAATGTGATTATTACATTCACCCTTATTATCGAGTCCCCGCCCATACCCCATTGCAGTCACTGTCCGTCAGTGTAGTAAGATGCCACAGAGTCCCTATTTGTCTTCTCTGTGACCCCATACACACCAAGTGCATTAATCATGATTCCCTAAAATCCCCTTCTCCCTCCCTCCCCACCTGCCCTCCCACACCCCTTCCCTTTGGTAACCACTAGTCCCTTCTTGGAGTCTCTCAGTCTGCTGCTATTTTGTTCCTTCAGTTTTGCTTCATTGTTATACTCCAGAAACGAGGGAAATAATTTGCTTTGTCTTTCTCTGGCTGAGTTATTTCACTAAGCATAATACCCTCTAGCTCCATCCATGTTGTTGTAAATGGTAGGACTGATTTCTTTCTTATGGCTGAGTAGTATTCCATTGTGTATATGTACCACATCTTCTGTATCCGTTCATCTACTGATGGACACTTAGGTTGTTTCCATATGTTGGCTATTGTAACTAGTGCTGCAATAAACATAGGGGTGCATATGTCTGAGAAGTTGTTTTCTTTGGGTAAATTCCATTGTGTGTATATACCATATTTTAAAACATCATTTATCCATTGAAGGGCATTTGGGTTGCTCTGATCTCTTGGCCAAGAGCATGAGTGTGGAAATATCTCTATAAGACAAAAAAAAATGTGAATTTTAAAGTAGAAAGTTATACCTCAGAAAAGCTATGTAAAAAAAAAGAATCATCCTGACACATTCTACATCGGAGGAGATGAATAGATGGCTTCCAAATGTAATCTAAAACATGCAAGAATATTTAAGGGGAGGTACCAAAACCTAATGAGGGAAAAGAAAGGGTTTTCATTAAGTGGTTTGGTGATAGCCAGTTAACCATGGAGGGACAAGACTGGATTCTATTTATAATCTTATCTGATACCATAAAACAAAAATTAGTTCTAGATGAAGTAGATAATTGAGGAAACATACCAAACCAAACATAATATGTATCCATCGTTCAAATAAGGAAACACTTTCCAAACTTACAATAATTTGGAAAAGAATACATCCCCCAGATATTACAGATTTCATAGCATAAAACTGAAAGGCTCTTGTGTATTTCTTAGAAGAATTACATCTCATTTTGTAAAAAATAACTGGAGAAAATACAGAACAAATGTAATATCTTTATTTTAGAAGTAAAGGGTTAATATCTTAAAGAATATGAATGTATAAGATCTTAACACCTTTAGAAATTGCAGGATTGATATCAGTATACAGGATCATACAAATTCTTATGGAAATAAATTTGTAAACAAAAATCATACAAGACGAAATATATGAAGATGTACCAATTAAGAGAGTAAGTATTGCTTTCACTATATGCGTTGAGCTCTGTTTTTTAGAAATTTTCATTTAGACAGATAGGATTTTTATGTTTGTAATGAATTTCATAGCCTTCAAAGTGAGTAAAACATTTTGTCTATCAATTAGTTGACAAGCAGATACACTTTAAAAGTTTTTTCCTTTTGTTTCTAGCACATATCGATGAAATTGAGGAAGATATGGTTTCAGAACCTTCCTCCACTCCCCAGGTCACTGCCCATGCAGAAATTGTTGTTACCTTGACCGACAGTGACTATGCAGAGACTGATGTCACCTTGAGTGACAGTGAAGTGGAGACTGTGACAGATGGAGAAAGCAATCAGTAAGATTGAAAGAATTTAAACATTTGAAGTTTTAAATGTAAACTTAAACATCTTTATGCTGCAGAAATTTCCTTTATTTTATTTTATTGAGATCTAGTTTGTGTATTTATAAACCAGATAAGCAACTTTAGTGGTTTTCAAACCAGATTACTGTAGACTCCCCCGGAAAGATTATAAAATAAAGATACATTGTTGCCTGGATTGTATCCCCCACCAGTTGTGCCAGAATCTTAGGGGTCACTATTTTTTAAAATAGTGTACAGTTAGAGTTAAGAGTCTTTGCTCTAGATAAATGGTAATTTTACTTAGTGTTTTACTAAGTAAAATTCAATTTGCTTTCTGATTAAGGGAATTCATGAGTTCCTTTGAAGTTTATATGTTCATAATGCATGAATATGGGGTATGGGCTAAAATTAAAAGTGAAGAAAACTTTAAAGGAGTATTGATGCTGAAGTATTACTTTTTGTTCTGATTTGTTTCATCCCAAGATCGCAGTGCTACCAGGGAAGTCTGTGCTATTATGTTAGGGCAGCAGAGCATGAAACATTCTTTTGCCCCTCACTCAGTAATTTCATCAAACCCCTGTGCCAAAAAAATGAATGAAAACCCTCATTTGCTTTGATAAATAACTGGAAATGACATTGCCTTTTGGGAATCATTTTGACACCCCCGTCAAGAAACTAAACTAAACTAAACTAAACCCTAACACTGCATTCATCTTGTGCTTTAGATGATTACAAATATTGGTAAGAGTCCCACTGTTCCATTGTCCCTCTGTTTCGTTTCATTCATCATACTAAGCTCTGGATTAATCTCAATTTTTGTGTTGGAATGAATTTAGAAATGCACTTGCTGATGATGTTTTAAGTTGTGTTGTTATAGACTGTAAAAACAGACCTTATTTTGGAATATGTCAAAACACACCTAGAGTATGTGCTTCTCCACTTGCCACTGTCCCACTGAAGTGCTGCTACTCATGGCCTGGAAGAGAGCGCTCTAGAATATATTCCTGGTTTAAGTTTTAAAGGATTTTCCCAGACTAAGAAAAACTGATATTCCCCAGTTTGTGCCCCATTATCCTGTGACTTTGCATAGTGCTTGGTATAACAGTGACTCCGTTTTTATGAGCTACAAGAAATGCTGAAATTAAGGATCTCCTTTTCTTTGTGGAACTGGGTATCTTTCTTGCCATGGAGCTGCTTAATATTTAAGCAGATACAATTACCATAGTAACTGGATAGTGCCCTTGACCCATATTTTGCCTTATTGTTACTGGGGGTACTAACTTTGTCGCTGTTTAGCTGGCCCCTAGAGAGACTGCATCTGCATTTCAGATTCTTTGATGTCAGGACTTGACAGATGTCACTAAATTGGAGTTAGGGCTTCCTATGAAGCTTTCACAAAAGTACTACAAAATGGACGTGGAACTTTTGGCAGCTATTAACAGCTTTTCATGAATGACAGACTTCTCATCACAGACTCTTGGTTTCTCAAAGATTTTACACGGTGACCTCTGTCCTCCTTCAAAGCCATTGTTATCCTGAGACATTTGTTTACTCTCATGCCTCAGCCTGTACTGTCCTTGCCGGGATGGGCTGTCGTTTCTTTACTGTCTAAGGAATCAATCTTCTTCACTCCTGATACTCGAGAATTTCATTTTAGAGTTTGAACTTCTTTATAAACTCTTAGGCTTTACACTTGCTGAGGCCATCTACAGCCCAGTTTGAACGTTGGGGTTCTTTCCTGAGGGGTTGAGCTTGTGCCCCTCATGACGGCATGTGAACCGGTCTGGCCCGCCCTTTCCACACAAGCTGACGATAAACTCACAGTCAGTTTCACATTCAGTTTGGAAAAGAGAGAAAAAGACATTTTGATAAGCCGCACCTTTCTAAAATATTTATTTTTCTCTGGGAGCTTTAGGACTGTGTATTCTACATGCTCTTCCTCCATACCCTCAGTCTACATCATTATAATCCCTTAAAAAAAAAAAGAAACATGCAGTAAGTAACAATACAATACATACACATCATAAAAAGATGATAAAAATGTTCAACGCAAGCAAGTTTTGTTATGGCACCCAAACCAGTCAACGAGCTGCAGCTCTCCTCACCTCTGCTGATCCCAGGAAATTTCTCTGTGCCTTGACTCTCTTTTAGGGCAGCACCAGAAACATAGCTTGGTTTAGAACTCCCAAAGCTGTGTTTCACAAATTCAATCTGGACTAAACATACAAGATCATGCAGATGTTATTAAATATTTAGGGTGTTGATAGTTTTGTTACTTTACGTGTGGTGCATACTTTCAGGTACTAACATAAAATCTGAACATTTGATTATAACCCCAGATGTATACTCAAAATAACCATTGAAAAGAGAGCAGCATTCTTGAACCAGAACCCTGTATTTTACACCAGTGATTGGTCTGGCATATCATTTCTCATATCCTTAGAACATTTCATTCAGCATGCTTATTGAGTGCTGGGCATTGTGCTAGTCATAATTTCATTACATTATTTCTATAGAGATACTTTGCATGAAGGACTTCACAGTGTATTTTGAAAGAAAGACCTATGATTTCTTTGGTAACTAAAATTTTTGTTGTTTTTCATATTTACTAATTTAATATTGATGTCATTTAAGGTTTCCTTCAACCCTTGGACACTCCAGATACCCCTGGAGCCAAAGTCCTAGCCCCCAGACTAGTCGGCCACAGGAGCCAAGCACCTGCAGCAGGGCTTCCACTGTGATGCAGCGCTTCAGGCCGAATCCAGCAGAGGTTGTGGACCTCACTGCCGACGATGATGAGGATGGTAAGCTGGAGTAGCAGCAGTGCACAACTATGAGGAGAATTTGATAAAATGAAATATCTTAATATTTTACAAACTCCTACTCTTGCTTACTGGTAGTATATTATTAGACTACAAGGAAGTTGTCAAATGTCCTAATCTTATTTTTTAATTGATACCATAAATTGATACATACACTGAGGTTTGCAAATTGTACCTAAAATGCTCTCTGGTTATTGTTTCATTACTTGGCTGTTATCTTCTTGGACAAAAACTATTTTGACAAGTGATAGTTTAATCGATCCTCATACTTTCCTGTTAATTTTATTTGTAATATTATTGTCATACTTTAACTTTGCTATGAAGAACTGAAATGGCACTTTTTAAGTACAGACAACAGAAAGCTAGTATGACTGACTTAAATGGTTGATACTGTTTATTTGAAATAACTAATTATTTTCTTTTAAAGTTATCATTGATATACACTCCTATGGAGGTTTCACAAGAAAAACAATGTGGTTATCACATTCACCCTTATTATCGAGTCTCCCCCAATACCTCCTTGCAGTCACTGTCCATCAGCGTAGTAAGATGCCACAGAGTCCCTATTTGTCTTCTCTGAACTGCACTGTCTTCCCCGTGACCCCATACACACCATGTGCACAAGTCATGATAACCCACAATGCCCTTCTCCCTCCCTCTCCACCTGCCCTCTCCAACCCCTCCCTTTTGGTTACCGTTAGTCCCTTCTTGGAGTAAGGAAGCAGAACTGAAGGAACAAAATAGCAGCAAACTAACTTACTTTTAAAAGTTGCTACCCTTTAATGTAATATTGCTCTTCCCTTCTGTGCTTCTCAGCTTTACTGTTTTGTTTTGACTGAAAACTGCCCTCCAGTAACTGAGGAAACAAACTGGAATTGGAAACAGGCGAGGGAAAGTGGTGGCACGTATGACTACGTGAGTACTCCGTAAGATTTCCCACATATTGATAATTATCTTCAGGAATTATCAGTTACATCTTTGAAGGAAATGGTCAGTCAGTCATAATTTTCTTAAAGGATGAAGGCAAGTCCTATGTGAATTTGTTAGCTTTGGGAGTTAGCTATCAATTGGGGAAAGGATCCATTAGGGAGGGAGGAAGCGTCAGAGGCCATGTGCACTCGGCTCCCACAGATGCTCTGCAGTCTGGGTGACCATGACTCTCAGAGCACCAGAGATATGGGATTATGTATATGAAAAGATCATTTATTTCCACCATCTGCATTTCATTCAACAGTGTCTTGCTTTTTATTCTGAAGCACCACAAATTGTCTGTAAGAGAGAGGTAAATAAAATAGGAATTCAAGATTGCTCAGTTAATTAAATATATGACAACTGTTTTGGAAACTTCTTGTGTGTTTTCCCATTTGACACCTACCAGCAAGTAGGAGAAGGTGACAGAATAGCCTTCTAACCCACTGGAATTAGTTCAGGCAGAATACTTTTACTAGGTTAAAAGAATGCCAGTGAAAAGTAGACGCCCCCTTCTCCCCACTGATTTCTCTCAGTGGAAAGCTCCTAACCTATTAAAAATAAATCCAAAGCTTAAGTGTCTGGGCCCCCTGGTTCCTCACTGGCAGCCATTTAGTCTCCTGAAGGCATCTGGCAATGTCTGCAGACACTTTCAGGTCTCACTTTTGGGGTAGAGTGCGGCCATCACCTAAGAGGTAGAGGCCAGGGATGCTATGAATCACCCCACAATCCACAGGATGGCCCACCCTGTATCCCCACTTCCTTCCCCAACACACAATTATACAGCCAAAAGTGTCGATACTGCCAAGGTTGAGAAACTGAGATAAGCCATTTGCAAATAAACAGAGGTTCCTCCCTCCCCTTTTTACATGTAGCAAATATGTTTAAGCATCCAGAGTAGTTTCCCGTCTAAGACAACAGGTACTGTTCGCATTTCAGAAATCAGCCTACCGCTCTGCACTGTATAGAATAGATTGTATTCTTGATCTGTAACATGTTAAGATAATCCCTTCTTTTTGAACCAAATCGTTGTGACTATGCTTTGGACAGATTTATTTCTATTATTCTCAATTTTGAAACAGCCATTTCATAATCAGAGTCTAAAATATAGCTCATTGGTAAGTTAACATCTGCCTCAAATTTACTTCCTACTACAGAAATTTTAACTTTTATTATAAAACACTGATGGAATTAATATTTGCATTAAAAAAAATAAACTAAAAGCCATGAAAAAAAAGTGTGAGAGTGCTTTGATAACTTATCCATGACCATATACTGTTAGTGGTGAAATTAAAATTCCTTTTCAAGCAGTCTGACTCTAGAATCCATGCTGTACCAAAGAAAGGACAGTTTCTAACCCTGTTACAGCCTGTGACAATTATATGAACATATCATTTCTCATATCCTTAGGTCACTTTTTCTTTCCTTTTCCTCTTTTCTGCTTGGTAGTAGATCACAAAACTTCCATAGTGGTTACCCAAAAAACTATTTTAAAAACCTGAATTATTGGCATATGTATATGTGTTGGATTTTTAAAATGCAGTAATCACATTTTAGTGACATCATTTTAATATTGCAGTTTAGCTTTATGAAAGCTTTTTTAAAACTATATATTGTACTTATTAGAGAGTTAATAGTTTTAAAGTTTGTTTTAATTATTGTTTAATTACGAGTCATCTGCCTCGTAGCAGGCCTCTGATAGTGATGCAACTGTCCATAGCAGCAAGATCTCCACAGGGTCAGAGACGTCAGCTCCTCGTACAAGGAATAGAATGACTGGTACTTCTATAGGAGGTACGTTTTAAAAAACGGGCTGGGGAGAGGAAATTTTTCATCACTTTTGTCAGAAAAAGTATTGTTTTAAGGATTTTAGCTATGTTAGCAAAAGTGTAATCTTAGAGTGAACATCGTATGTGAGCAAAGTCGTCTCTATTAGACTAAGATTTCACATTTAAGGTGCTGTATGTTACCGAACTATCATAGCACAACCGAAAGAGATCGGGGGCTGTCACCAATCATCATCCTGCATCTCCAGCAGCTGGGTTGGTCCCATTCCCTAAGTACACGCACACACACATTTATGTGAAGTCTGGGTGCACTTCCCTGGACTGTCCTCATCTTAAACTCCTTCCTCTAACTTGCTTCTGACGCCTTTCAAAACAAACATGGTGTTGAAAACATCTGGCCATCGTCTTCTCATCTCTGTTTTTTCCTCGAACTCTGTTTTCATCCCTTCTCACTGGCCCATCTCACAACCACAGGTGTCTCCCTCAGCACCAGTACACTCACGACCTCCCACTGTTGCTTCCAGAGCCCTCTCCTTGTTAAACATTCATGCCCAGCTCACGCTCAGACACCCGCTCTGGGCCAGTTTGCAGTTGCCAGACTCCGCAAGCCCCAGTCCATTCATCTGACTTCTCCATGTGCTCCTTGTTTTATGCACATGTGGAATCTTATATATTCATTTATTTAACAGATATTTATGAACGAATTGACTGTATACTAGGTATCAAGGACTTAGGTAGGCACTGGTAACAGAACATTAATTTTCTGCCCTAAGAGAGCTAGTATTCTAGTGGATAATAACCAACATCTTTTGCACTCATAATATTGGTCAGTGACGTATTTTTATTAACTCTGATTTTCATAGTAACCTATGAGGCAGATTTTATTACTCTCCTCATTGTGCAGATGAAGTAACTTGCCCAAGGGTATGTGACAGTGGAGCAAGAATTCAAACCTAGGAAGTCTAGCTTGGAGACAGTACTCTTCCTTTATGCCAGGATTTCGCGCCCTTGGCTGTTCTCTCCGGGCTGGACAGTTCTTTGGGTGGGGGACAGTCCTGTGCTTTGTCGGCTATGTACCAGCATGCTTGGCCTCTGCCCACTGAAGTCAAGCATCAGCACCTCCCCTCCAGTGTGACAACCACAAATGTCCCCAGGTGTTGCCAGATGTTCCCCGGGGGCAACATTGCTTTATATTTTACTAGGACCCAGTGCTTCTAATACTGGTTGATTAACATTTTAAATCATCTCTATACTTGATGATGAGCTCCTCAAGGACTAAAGATCAAATCTTTCTCTTCTTAGCACTTAACTGCAGGCACGCATGCCTCTTTAAACTTGGGGGGTTAACTTAAATTTAAAAGTGCTTATTGAGCCACCTTACATTGTGCAGGCATGTTGCTAGTTGAGATAAGACACCAAAGGCAGACTGCATCGTAATTATTTTAAAGGTTTAAAGGTCAGGACTTTTATTTTTAACCGTTGCATTTTCCAGTGCCTTTTTTAGATCCTTTACCATGCATGCCATTACTATTTGCAAGACTTGCCAAATGAATGAACAAATGCATCGGTCCATCTCTGTAATCCTCCTAAGGAACTGAAAGTACTTTAACAAGCTTCATGTCACTGAGCTGTGAAGTTAATTTCTCTGGCCCAGGTTTCCTATTGCCTCATTTTTAGTGGACACTGGGCACTAAATATTAATTCAAAGGAAGTGTTGTATTTACTTTATCAGATATCTTTGTATTTCACCTCTAATTTATGGCAGTGAACAACAGGAGATCCAGCTGTCTGTGCATTGGGTTGCTACCCTGTTTGACCAACAGAGAGGTTCTGGACTATAGGAAAATAGGCTTAATGTAACTGGGAGTGAAAACTGTACCCACTAATGATCTGACCCCTTAAATATGCGTTTGGCGTTGTATGTATTACAGTCACTGTGCTTCCTATTCTCTCACTCTTAGTTTTGTATTTGAGATATTTGAAGACAATGAGGGCAAGTTCTCTCTGAACAGGTAAGGTTCATCTCTCTCACTTCCGTCATGGCCGTGGCAGTCTGCAGCGCTCTTGCTGTGCTTACAAATTCATCTCCTGAGTCTTAGGGTTGCCCAGAATCCTCAAATACCTGGATCTGTAAAATTAAAGCATCCAAGTTGGAAGCAACCATAAAGGTCGTTCAGTCCACCCACTGACTGGATTTCATCCCAAAGGTTTTCAATCTGTTTTCTGAAGTCATTTCACCCTAAATGACATACACTTGTACACCATCTTGACATGGGGGCTGAGATAAAGTCCTTAAAATTTGCAGGAAACAAAACTACTGTAGTAATAAATCATTGTACATATATCACAACATACAGAAAATAGTTCTTTACAGGCTGTTGGTGATGGTCATCTCCTCATATGCTAGCTGTAACTTTGCCCAAGTTATTTAAAAAATTTGGAATGCAAGTGAATGAAAACGATAGAATTATATACTGAGTTACAGAATTATACCTGACTTTGAATCCGCTATAATTTATGTTTTAAAAGTAAACAACTTATTTTCCTTGTTTTTTGATACAAATCACTTGTAATATTTAACCTCTCAACTGATGCTAACAAGGTGGTATGAATGCCAGGAGGCAATTAGAGATGAGAAAAAACTGGTAATTTTTTTAATCCAAGTCCACAGACTCCTAAATCTAGTTCTCGGGTTACCTTTATTTGGGTTCATGAGATTAGCCCAAATAGGCCAGACCCGGAAGCTTGGAGAAAACCAATATACAGAGATTTAGAATAGAGACACTCCATAGCAGAATTTAGATCACAGACCTTCCCCAGGAGACAATCAGCAAAGACAAGAGAGGTCGTGTATGGGAAGGCAGCCCAGGAGAATGACAGGGAGGTGTCCCGCCTGCCATCAGATCTCTCAACCAGAGCCCTAAGCACCTCCACCCAGATTCTTTTCTGTGACCCCATTAACTCCCTTCACTGTTTGGGCCAGTTTTGACTGGATTTTTCTATTATGTGTAAGTAACCATGAGATTCCTGATTGGTACCTTGGCCCAGAAGAGATTAGGTGAGTCCTACGAGTCAAACAGGAGCAGGTTAACTCTGGTATTGGCTAGTCTAGAGATCAGACTGGAGCGGTGTTGCTCCAGAACCCTGCGGACTCTGCGGGGAGGCCTCAGGGGGCACACGGGGCAGTGGGGAGGAGAGGCCTGTGGGCACTCCACTCTTCCTGTGTTTATTTTATAAGTAAAAAATTTCATCTACATTTTTATCTGCTTCCCACATAATAGTTTGAGGAAAGGATGCTGTCTTTTAGATGACTTTGTAACACTGTGCTAGGCCCTCCGGGGTGTGGGGGCACTTTTGCATGTCTTCTGACAGGGAAGGGCATACGTCCAAAATAACTCTGGGCATGGGGCAGAGAGCATAATCAGGACTCGTGTATTTCATACCTAGCAGATTATCTTCTTCTCTAACAACAGCTATGCAGGGCAGTGACTGCTCCACTTAATAGGTGAGAAGGGTTAGATGACTTTCCTAGGGTCACACTGCTCGGGATTAGACAGGCTCACGATTCACACTCAGGCCCATTTGACTCCATGCTTTTTTCACACTGTTCAGCACTAATTCACTAGTTCAGATATATCATATGTAATAAATCAGTGATTTATCTTACTGCCCTTGCAACGATGGTCTAATTTAGTGGCCTGCGATTTTTTTTTAAGTGAGTCTCTAGGATTGTCTGAAAGTTCTCAATTATTACTGATCGAGGGGACTTGGGAAATCAAAAATTAGGTTATTACGACACCATTAATTCTACGCACATTAGAATTTTACTTCTTATATTCTGTTGGGTCTGAGTTTAGAGACCATAGGAAGGAAGAGACGTTGGAGGTTAGTGCCACAGCCAGACAGGCTCTGGTTTAGTGGTTATATCTTCAGAAGGTAAGATTTTTAACAGATAGTCTGCACTATTTAGGAATGATTTGTGGTATTAGGGGTTCCTGGAGTTCAGGAGAATTTCGCTTTATTGCATATAATAGAAGGACTCATTTGAGATTAAAAAAATTTTTAATGCAATTAAAATAAAATCATTTGTTATGGCCCAGGAGAAGATGATCTACTGCCATATTTAAATGTCATGGTATATATGAGGCTCCTAAAGAATTCAGGCTTTCAGGAAAATCTCAATGAAGACTCCTGCCTGAAATTATATGATATATATGTTAAGAATGTGGCACTATCACATTCTTATTTACAGAGATTTGAATTTACTAAACATGTTTTCATTGTTTGTTTACTTATTTATGGAAAACTACTTTTTACACAGCAACATTTTGTTCATTATACCTCAATAAAGCTGAAGAAAGTGAAATGATTGTTGAAGAGTTAAATAAATTGATTCATCCTGGAACGAAACTTTAAAATTTTATACTTGGGAATATTACTTCTTGCATAATGATTATAGAAATAGAAAAATTTTAAGTGAAACTGGGAAAAATGCTGTGAATTTGAGGAAGGATAGTTAACTGTGGTAAAACAGAGACTTCATTTTTGTGATCATTTTATGACTCCCAAGAAATACTGAGCTTTGTGATATCTTGCTTGGAGTAAAGCACTGATTTGAAAACATAACTTTTAGAAAATAAGTTTAAAACTTTTCTCACAACTTATTGAGCTTAGTGAAACTTTAAGATACTTGATAGCAAGGTTTCCTTTGAAAATATGGCTGAATGTTTTCATGGTTACCTACCTTTTACCCCAGCTGAATGAATCAAAGAATTACAAATTGAAGGAAATCCTTCTGTAATGAAACTCGAGACTGCCCATAGCCTACACCAGACTACCAAGAAATTCTTCCAAATCAAATGAAATTCGGACTGAAATATCTATTAGACTAAGATTTCACATTTAAGGTGCTGTATGTTACCGAACTATCATAGCACAACCGAAAGAGATCGGGGGCTGTCACCAATCATCATCCTGCATCTCCAGCAGCTGGGTTGGTCCCATTCC